AAAAATTCAACAAAGGAATAAATGTACTACTGATACTTTTGAAAATAAATTTGACTGTATTCCAGTCATTGCAACATGGAGAAAAGTCTACCTATTTGGTCGCTGAGAGTTCACAATCACTTGATAACACATAACCAATCACTTGAAATCCAATTAGGACAAGGGATTTTGAAAGTTCAAACTAAAAATCCATAAAGCTATTTCAGGAGCAGATGCTGTTATGTTGATTCCATTCCAATATAAGAATTGTCCATAGAAATATTGCTTAGTGCTTTGTACCTTAAAAATGAGGGAGGTGGGATGTTATAAGACCATAAAACTCTCCAAACATTTTTATGGGCACATATGAAATAAGGAATTGGTAACATTGTTTGAAAGGAAGTATTTGAACAACTTCCAGGACACAGATTTGTGAACTGAGCACAAATCTGCTTTGAACATGGCCGAAATAGGAGTCGGTGAAAGGATTGGCTTCTTGGAATTTCTCTCCAAATTAAGGAGAAGACAAGGATGGCCCATGTTTGGCTCTATACAGATTCTCCCTATGAAGAGATTGCAAATCAGTGCTCTCCAGCCAATTTGAGAGGTCTGGAGCCCGGGAAGGGAGGGGAATATTCATCTTGCCTAAGCCACATTCAGTGCCTTTCAAAGAGACACTGAGTTTGCATATTTCCTCTCTTAGTTACTTTGGGAAGTTGCTTATTATTGATTTTTTGGGGTTAAGAACCTTCTGAAAGACAAGCTGCATTACACTGGGAAAGTTTTCTTCCACCCTGGATGAAAGAATATCTAAGTTTAACAAAGAGAAACTTTAATGTTTGGAAAACAGCAAAATGAGATCTGGAATGTTGATTTGGGAAAATTAAGGGTCTGGATGGATTTGAAAGAATATTTCCTATGGGGTGTTTAAAATTTATAAAACAATATAAGAAATATTTGAAATTTAAAAAAAAATCCTGTGGGAAAGCTTTGTTGATTGGAAAATAAGCAGATGATAAGAGGGAAACTATAGGGAACAAAGGATTAGTCTGAAAGGAGAGCAGGCCCATTAATACAATAGAGCAACACTATTTAACTATAAAAGAAATTAAGGCCTGCTTGGGAACAATTTACTCAGAAGTTACTTACTTGTGTGATACAGCAAAGGATATAACTGTGTAATATAGCAAAGGATATAGAAGAACAATAGATTTTATTGGATAAAATAAAGACTGAGACTGATTTGATTGTGGATTTGGAGTTTTAAAAATGTTAGATTATAAAGTGATATAGAAAAAGATGTTGTGGAACTGAAAAAGGATGTTAAAATGCCAGAATATAAGAGTGATATGGAAAATGATGCCAAAATGAATTTACCAATGAAACCATTGGTGTCTTAATAATTAAAGGGACATAAAACAGAAGAATGACTTGGAAAGCCTTCTTACTTTGGATTTATAAAAGGAACCAAGGAAACTCTGAGAAGAGACAATGAGGAATTACTCAAGCTGTTTCTCAAAAGGAGACAAAAAAACATAAGAAACAACTTGTGGGACAATATTTGACAGGAGTAAAGATCAAACGTTTTAAAAATGAAATGATTTATAAAGTGAATCTGTTTGGTAGAAATTTAATTTTGGAGCCCTTGGTGCTCTCTGAGTTTGGTGGTTTTCTTGAGGAAATTTCATTATTCAACTAGGTAACATCATCAGTGCTAGAAGGGAGTAGGATTAATCTCTGTTTAGATACCAGTAGCTTGCCTTGTCAAGGTTGGTGGATGTGTTCTTGGTGGTTCCTTGATTAGGCTGTTATTTACTGGGTTGGTAGTTCCTTGATTGGGGTAATGTTTACTTCTTGGTATTAATTTTTACTTATCTGGGTGTTGATTGCTGGTCAGGAGATGTTGTGGTCTTATCTTTTTTATTGGTTCTTTTGAATGCTATGGAGATATTGTTTATCTCTATGTGCCTGTTGATGGTCCATTTGTCTGAGTGTTAAGCTTCCTGAAAATCTATAGTGTTTTAGACATAACTTGCTCTAGGATGCTCACTATCTCCCAGTTGAAACTATGGTGAAGTCTGTCTATGTGTTGTACAATTAAGAGTTTTCATTATAAAGTATCTTTTGACTGCTAGTTGGGGCTCATGGAGTCTGCTAATCTTCTGCCTGTTTGTCCTACATAATGGCTGTTATAGTCCATGTATATTGTATATTGTATAGTCCATATGTGAATAGAATAGAGCTGGAAGGGACCTTGGAGGTCTTCTAGTCCAGCCCCCTGCTCAGGAAGGAGAACCTATACCATCTCAGACAAGTGACTGTCTAGTCTCTTCTTAAAAATCTCCAGTGATGGAGCACCCACGATTTCTGGAGGCAAGCTGTTCCACTGGTTAATTGTTCTCACAGGCAGGAAGTTTCTCCTTAATTCCAGGTTGCTTCTCTCTTTGATCAGTTTCTAACCATTGTTTCTTGTCCTTCCCTCTGATGCTCTGGTGAACAATGTGACCCCCTCTTCCTTGAGGCAGCCCCTCAGATACTGGAACACTGCTATCATGTCTCCCCTATTTCTTATTTTCTTTAGACTAGCCAGATCCAAGTCCTGCAGCCATTCTTCATATGCTTTAGTCTCCAGGCCTTTGGTCATCTTAGTTGCTCTTCTCTGAATTTTTTCCCAAACTCTCAACATACATACATGTATATTGTAGATTGATTCTGTTTTATTTTTCTTCTGGGGCTACTAGTTGCTTAAAAAGTGGGTGGGTGTTTGTGCGCACGCACTCACGCGTGCGCACACACACACACACACACACACACACACACACACACATACACAGAGTAAAACCAAAATAGCCAAGTGGAAGATTACCTCGTAGATATATATGCATATATTTTCCTTTTAACTGTAAACTATCCGGAATCACTAAGAAGTTGGATATCCTCTAAATAAGATAAATACAACCATAGTTAAGGTTTACTGGAGCCCACTGGATTAAAATGAACAGTAGGTTGAGATTGAATGAAGAGTTCTAAACTGCTCATAGTTACACCAGAGAAGAAGAAAGAGAGCAAATATACCCAAATCTTGCTGTAGCTAATTTTCATATCTGTCATTTAGCATTATGTATAAACCTAATTCTTGTGGTATAGAATTAAAAAATGGAAGTACAGGAGTACTGCAATAGTAAAATATGGGTTGCTGTTTTCAAGTTAGCAGTTGTTAGTATTACTTTTTAATGCCTGAGTTTGACATAATATGTTGATTAAAGATTTCCTATGGATGTGATACCTAAAATTTTGACTGGAAAATAAAAAAGTACAGTAGCCACTTTACTCATGGTCTGCAATACACTGCAATAGAATCAGATTAGTTAATATTATGTATAAAATATGCTTTTTTGTAAGAATACACTGAAATGAATTGGAGGGTAAAATCTTAATGAGAGCGCATAAGAATAGAATTGTGAAATGTACAGTATATAAATCACATTGTTTCTGATCAGTAAATTCCATGGAATGGAGAATGGAGAATACACAAGCTAACTTGCAATGCTTCATTTTTTTTATTTGAAAAAGGGTAAAAAATTAAGTTTATTGGACTGCAGAAACTGGCTTTAGTTTCCAGCAGTGAATGTCCAAGTTTAAATATCCTGGAGAAATAATTCAGTCTATATAAAATCCATGATTGTACTTGTAGCAAAGAACATTACTTTCAGCACAACATTGCTTTAAAGCAGAGCATTGATTTTACACTCGTGACTAATGATATCCATAACATTTTGAGAAAATACAAATTGAAATAAAATAGAGAAAGAAAACCAGCATACAGTAAACTCATTTGCTCTCAGAAATGCCGGGGGGGGGGGGGGNATTGTTTCTTTCACTGAATTGGCTTATTTGTAGCCCAAAGAAATGGTATAATTTATTCTAGGTCAGGAAACCAGTTTCTAACGGGGGGGGGGGGGGTTGGTCTAAATCAAAAGGAATAATTAAAAAGATTTTACTTCTGTTTAGAAAAGCATGGGGCTAAGCCTGTTTCATGTTTATTTGGAAGCAAACCCTAATGTTACTAGTTGTGCCAGCATAGAGTTTCGGTATTTTAAAAGTCCAGTACATTAGCTAAATAACTGCAAGAATTTACTTCTATGGGGGGAGGGAATGACAATAAAACTGAATAGATTATGCTTACAGCAGTCTTTATAGCACTTTCAACAAATGTTTGGAATAACGCTGCTTACTTGCCTAGAAGGCCATTTCTTCAGTGTTCTAGGGACAAAATATTTTATTAGCTCTCTAACTATTAGACCTGTTGTCATAAGTCTAAGAACTCACCCACAGATTCCTGAAGATATGCTTTTCTCCCACCGCATTGGGAAAAAGTAAGTTGTTCTGGAAACTGCTCCCCAACCCCACCCTGACCAAGCTTGAGATGAAAATGTAACAAATACTCAAGTGAAGAATATGAACTGAGAGGCAGAGTGGTAGCAAATCTGTTATGAAATTGACATTATGAAGTGGGAACTGAACTGAATGCACTTCCCAGTCTACCACCTAGTTGACATGGTGGTAATCCCCGACTGTATGGTGGGGATGCTGGCCTCTAAAAAAAAAATAGTATTGCTCTATTAAAGCCCCAGAAAGTTCAGATGTTTTAAAAATGCATTCCACAAAAATAATTCCATTTGTCATCTGCTGTCAGAAAAAACATTGGCTCTTCAGTACCTGTAAAAAAAAAAAAAGGAATGAGCTAGTTCTCTTCGGTCTCAATCTTTTCTAGTGTAAGAGTTTTGTAACTGGAACTAGAAAAAGGAACAAATTGTGAAGCCTTGCCTAACTATTGCTATCTCGCTTCTGTAATTAGAGTTTACGTCAGGGACCAATTTCATGCAAGCGTGGGAAACAAGTACACGGATGTGGCGTACTGAGGAGGGAATAAGGGAGTGTACAGGAATGATTGATGTCTCCTTTATATGGTCATAATTCTATTGTCTGATGTTGATTGGCTAACAAAGTTTATAAAGCGATGCCATTAACTTTCTAAAGGGGGGCACTTCTGAATGCAACTGCTGCCAGTGTTCAGATTGTGTTTCCAGCCAGGACTTAATTCGGTCAAATAAAAAGTACTGTCTCTTTAAGAAGCCTCTGTCTGAGTTCGTGATTGGATTTTGTGATATCTCAGGTTTAATCAAGGGCCAGTGACCTTACACTAGCTAGAGAAAAATCAAACCAAAAATCAAACTATAGATAAGATTAAACATTGACCCTATAAGAACAACCTCAACTTGTTTTCCTTAGGAGACTGGTTGTGTCATACACTTTCAAGGATCTGTATATCTGCCTGTTTCCTGGTACTTTGCTAATATAAAGAGAAAAGAAAACACTGTCCATCTTAATATTTTATTTTCAAGGTTTACTTCAATTTTATTAATGGGAGAACATATTTCCAAACTGCATGAATACCACCCAAAGATGCCTCCAAAACTGGAATGCCTTCATATTGCAATTCTGTCTGTAAACCAGAACAAAAGCTGAAAGCCTTATGTCTTCAGCTCAGTAATCCAGTTTTCTAAATTTAAACATCTGGAGGGAAATGACTGAGCATTGCATAAACTGGTTCCAATTAATACAGAGTTGTAAATTAGCAATCTTGAAAATGTCAATTTTATAAAGAATTTAGGCCTGAAAGTGACCTAAATGACATGTAGTTCATCTGTTAGTCATAATCAGGTTGTCGGCAAGCGTTTTCTTTTCCTCTTTGTAGACTTTGGGAAGAATCAATGGTTTAGACCAGCATTACAAGTGATATGAGATATGAACTAGGAGAATTAAGTGTAAAAGTGCACATTCTTCTTGCAATTAATAAATGGGGTGACTTGTACAGCATAGGAAATAGGGAGGGGAAAAGAAAAGGTTTTGTGAGAAAGCTGTGTTGTTTTTATTATTTCTTACTATGCAACAGTATAGGAATTCAATAATAAATTATGAAAAGATGCTTCACTTTGATCTTTAAAGTATGAATTATATATAGAAAAAGTAAAGGAGAAGCTGGATTTATTTGAAGAATTAATGAAACAAAGGAAAGAAAATGCACAATATTTATTGGACACATAGAACTTCTAACAGTTCTTCTTTTGTTGTTCTCTGATTTCTTTTTGAATTATTCTCTTTATTCCCCTAGCATATTGTTCTCATTTTCCTTTGATTTTCTCACATACAAGTCATTGGATGAAAGCTAGGATTCCACATTTAGGGTACATCAATCTGAAATATTTAGAAATCAGGACTGTTGATGTTTTATAAATTTGCCTTTTTCATAAACCTGGTACTTAGTGGGTTGTATAAAAGCTGGAATTACACAGGATTTTTGTCTCTATTTTTTATGTATCTACTCTTCCTTCTATGAGTGTTATCTTAAATTTGGGCTCATTTTCGCTCTGAGCAGAGTTGTATTTATTCAAGCCATACAACCGTTCTTGATAATCTGGGTGTCCAGGCTCAAAATATGAATCTTACTTCAGAGAGCTAGCAGCTTAGATGGCCGTTTCATTGATGAAGAACACTTAGGCTACGGTACTAAGTACGCTTACTTTTCAATAAGTCTCACTGAATAAATGGATTTACTATTAAGATACAATGTCACCCACTGAATTCTCAGATAAACAAACCTTTCTAGATACTAACTTTCCACACCCTTGTATCTTGGGAAGTAGCATTTCATATACTGGGCTAGTGAGTACATTTGAAAAAAACCCCACATACTTTGGGCATACTTAATTGCCTGTGGGTACCAAAGATTTTTCTGAGGTACACCCTAACTTAACAAGTAGGGCAAAAAGAGGGGAAATAAGGGGGATGTTATTAAAGCCTTCTTTCACCCCCATACAAGATTGTATTACTTTGTTTCATTTAATTTATTATTCAAATGCCATACATTCTTTCCCTAGATATCTGCCTTGATTTTTTTTTTAAAGTGGTGATTTGGATTATGTGGCAAAACTATCATAGAAGAACATTATGTTCTCCTTTTAAGGCATTGATATATGTGTTTTGATTTACTATCTTTGAGTAAGAACTAAATGAACTGTCTAATAAAGGCTGAAATGTACATAAAAGAAAGATCATTTGACTAAGAGACGGCTCCACAGAACAATCTTTTGATTATACAGAATGCATCTCAGGTGAATTAGTGAAATAGTGAAATATTATCAGGTGCTATTATATTATCAGGTACTATTGGAATAATAAAATCATTGAATTTTCCTATGCCATATATTTGTATGGACTAGAATCCTATTTTTCAGAAGTGACAATGATGCCATGGAAGATGGAAAGAAATATTTTCCAAGTCTGTGAAAACATCACTAACAAATTTAGTTGCACTGTTATCTAATCATTTTGTTACTCCTTGACTTGAATTCCATGAGAAATATGTGTGAAATTAAATTGGTGACATTAATTAAAAACATAGTATTGTAGGTAATTAGTACAAATTATGCTGAAGTTCCAATTAAAAGTTTATCTAATGGTTTCCATGAAGATATTTTCTTTAAGCACATACATTAATTGGTGTTTGTTTGCTTTCTTTTTAGGGTGAAAAAGGAGAAAAAGGAATAGATGGCATACCTGGAAGAGATGTAAGTTGATGTGTATGTTTTATTTAATTTCTTTGTGGATAATCACAAGGTACAAGGGTGATTATACATAAAATTCTAATGAAGAAATAGCAGCTTAGTAAATTTATACCCTTGGACAGTTTGGTTAAGCAATAGCCTAAAAAAAGAAATGGAAAAATCTCTTTCTCCTATCGTTTTTAGTTTTCCTTTCCCCTTTTTTTTTTTTTAGTAAAATTTGATAACTCACCAATTAGCCAAGTGGTGGGATTCAAATATGTGAACAACCGGTTCTCTGTGTGGATGCCATTTCTAGAAGTCTGTTCTGGGCCTGGGCAACATAAAATTAACTACCGGTTCTCCCAAACTGGTGTGAACTGGCTGAATCCCACCACTGAATTAGCCTAAGTGTTTTTAGTTGTAAGAAATCATTCTGGTCTCCTGCAACATGGCTGTTTAATCCAGTGGAATCATCCATTGCCAGAATGTGAGAAAAACTTATTTTCAGATAATTTATTTATACGAAGAGATGGATGGAAAACGTTTTTTTAAAAAAATCTCCTCCTTTCTGGTTCTAAAGAACTTTTATTAAGTTGTTATGAGCACAGGCCAAAAGGTTGTAATCCAAGAAAACGCTATATAAAATGCTTGATCTAATAGTTAAAACACCAGTCTAGAAAGTTGGAGACTGTGAATTCTAGTCTCACTTTAGCCATGAAAGCCAGTTAGGTAAACTTGGGCCAGTCACACTCTCTCAACTCAGCTCACAGGGTTTTTATTGTGGGAAAAATAGGAGGAAGATGTATTGGATATTATCACTGCCTTGAGTTAATTGTAAAAATAATAAAGGTGGGATATAAATACATACATACTGTACATACATTAAAATAATAAGTAAAATAAAATAAAATAAGCACTTCAAAAGCAATGGAGACTTGCCCCCTCCCACATCTCCCGTGATTATTTAGCACTGTTTATCATATATTCTGAATGAATGGAGAAGTTTTGAGATGAGCAAATGTAGGTAGAAAGGTAGTAGGTAGTTTCTTGCAAAGAGGGAACATGTTCAGAGATGTAAAACTAGTTGCGTATTATAATGTCATACTTTTGCCCATCGTGTGTATAGAAGTGAGAGCCGATTTTATGTAAGAAGAAACATAAAAATAATGAATGAATGAGGTGGGAATATTTTTAAAGAAATATAATAAAAGAAGAAGAAATGGGCTCAAGCCAAATAAATGGCTTAACAAATCTATGAAGAAAGTGTGAATGGATTGAGAGAAAAAGATATCCACTAAAACAGTGGTGGAATGAAATTGATGTGATCCTCAGAATGAGAGAAATGATCTATGTAAAGAACAAAGAAGCATATATGGGTGCGGAGAAAGCCAGGATGTTTTGCAAAGATAGAAAGATATGGAGAACTATATGAATGGTGCTGGTAATAAGTAATTTCAACTACTTTGTTTTATTTTTCTCAGTATTTCTTTACTGCTTTCATGCCCACAGCATAACACTGCACATCCTGAAAGGGAATAACATGATAAATATGTATGTTTGTATACATATTCCATTTGCTTTCTGAAATCTCGTAACCATTTTTGTTTATAGTCCACAAAAAAATCAGTCAGAAATCTGAATCCATTCAGAAATCTGAATAGGGTAATTTGTATTTATGATGTTCAAGCATGGGCATTAAGGCAGATTTTTTCCCCCCTACTCATTTCTCTTTGCCTGGTCTGTCTTCTTCAGACAGAACAAACATTGCTTTAGATTTAATTCTTTTATTACTTATAAGCATAAGAAATCAGGTTTATCAAAATCCATCATTTAATTTGAAGTGGCTACTTAAATGCTAATGTACTGCATCTACTTCTTCCAAATGGTGAGTTAATATAATTTTTGCAGAAAGTGAAGTTGTCCAATTATGAGTTTTTTTAACACTTTCTGATTCAAAGTTTCTTGCCTTCAGTAGGAGAGATGTTGCTTATCATTTTAACATCAAGTATTATTACTTTATGTCAGGTAATTTATTTGGTTCTACTTTGATAGAATTTGTATATGAATTTCCAAGGTTTTATTTTGGTGATGTTTGTAATAGTGTACTGGTTTATTAAATGATGTCTTAGTGCTTGTTGACTGTATCTGAAACAGGGGCAAGATTCAGACCTGGTTACTATGTGGATGAGAGACATGCATAAAATGGCAAGCTTATAGACAAGATTGAGAAGTTGAAGAAAACACATGGAAGGCAATAGCAAGCCACTTTTTGTTGCCAAGAAAACATATCCATGACGCCAAAAGGAGTTGAGATTGATTTGAAAAAGTGTGTGTGTGTGTGTGTGTGTGTGTGTGTGTGTGCCTTGTACCTTCAAGTCACTGTTGACTCCTGGCAACTGCCTGGACTAGTCCCCACAGTTTTCTTGGCAAGGCTTTTCAGAAGTGTCTTTTCCTGGCTTCTCCTTTGGGCTGAGTGAGAGGGACTGTCCCAAGATAATCCAGTTGGCTTCATGCCTAAGGCAGAACTAGAATTCACGGTGTCCCAGTTTCTAGTTTGGGAGCTTAACTGCTACACTTCTTACTTATAGAACTTAATACATATTAAACATGGTTCCTTATCTTTTGTCCTTCTTCCATAGGGCTTAAAAGGTGATGTTGGTGATCATGGAATAACTGGTGCAAAGGGAGAAAAGGTATGTGCACGTGTCCATGTGTGAACACTTATATTGAACTGATAGCTGAAAATTAAAGAACCTTAAAGAAGAGGAGAAATTGCTGACAATAAAAGAGTGAACAAGAAATACTAAGGGGCTGCGTGCAGTGCTCTAGTGTAGATGCCACTGAATATTAGTCTGAATATTAACAACTGTTTGGGAAATGTTACTTTGTGAGTTTTACCTAAGCAGGATCACTGTCTCCTTTTGTTCTTCTGCAACTATTTCTTCCCCTCCCCTCATCTCCATCCAGATTTTGGGTTTGTTTGTTTGTTTGTTTTTGTTTTTTATTTTTTTTGTTTTTTGCTATCCTGACAGTATATATGAGCAGAAGCCCTGTTATATGATGATAGACTCACTTCTCTGAATTTACAAATGTAGTCTGCCATGCGTACACACAAAATGGTTAAAACATACCCCTTGCCAAGTGGGTACAATAAAGCATTACGAAATTTACTTGCAAAAATGTACAGATTAGGGGAAATTACGTTCAGATAGGAGGATACGATGAAAAAATGTACAAAAATATTGTAGAAGAAATGCAAACCAAGTTTCATGGCAGACATTTTAGAAACAGAATGCAGAAAAGGAACTGAACAAATGTATCATATATATTCATGTATAAGTCCATCTGCAGATAAGCCAACCCTTGAATTTTTAACCAAAATATCATGAAAAATGAGCCACCCAGGGATCAGCCTGAATCTCCTTCAGATGATGATTGCTGACCTTGAGTTGTTCATCACTTTAATTTTCACTATATCATCAGATTTCTCTAAAGTAAATTGAATAGGAACTATATGTGTTGAATTAAGTATTTCAAATGAAGCTGAGTGGACCATAGATGTCAAGTTAAGTATTTTAAGTGAAATGGCATTTTGAAAAACTGCACTAATACGAGATTGTTAACTTTTGCTTTCTTCCTAATACTATAGGGTGATATGGGACCTCCAGGACCTGCTGCCCTTGCAGTAAGTACATTAATTTGAAAACGGTGAAGGAATTATCCAAATATTGGCTTATATATATGATGGTGATTTTTTTCCATTGATAATTTACCTATCTAAATGAAATGCTTACTTCCTCAGTTGCACAAAATGTACAACTAGCAACCTATACAATTAGTGAGAGGAATATTAGATATTTTTTTTTCAGCTGAACACAAGTCTACTTTCACTCTCTTCAAAAGTATCCTGGCTATTTCACTGTGTGAAATAAGGTCATGTAAACCCTTGCAAAACAAGCTGATAGGTAAAAAGAATATGTCACTGTGTTTATCATTTTTCATATGCTTTAATGCTTTCAAGAGGACACTGAAGTGCCATTTCCCTAGCGGAAGTAGATGATCATTTTCACGATGGCTTTAAAATTAGTCACATGGAGAATGGACACTCCTGCAAAGATCTGGAAAACCAATCCCCTATGCTACATTTCCCCTAGCAGCCAAATGTATCTCTTAGCATTTTTGGAGCAGAAGAAAATTATTGGGGATATGACAGATGTAATAGAGATGGAAAACTGAGATTGGAGTCTAGCAGTCCTTGCTCAATCATAACCTAATTGCAAAGAGCTATCGGATGTCTGGCAACATCCTTATTTAAGATTCATTTTACTTATTGGAACCTACATTCACTCCCAAATTGCTGCTCAAACACTGGGCTTGAAACCTGTCTCCATAAAGTTATAGTTTTGAAAACTGAAGTCCAATGAGAAGTGACTATTACATTTTGGGCACTTAGAGAGAAAATTTTGTTTTTATTGTCACTTAGCAATCCGAATAAGTCAATTAAACTTTAACTAATGGTCATGGAAATGTGATAAGAGTTGGCTTTGTCTATTCTCTTTTTGGGCATGGAGAAATATTGAAAAAGGTTTCAGTGGACGTTGTTTTTTAAGAAAAGTATTTGGAATTGCCCTAAAAAAAACATATAGTCACATGAAAATGGCTGTAAGATAGTGTAATTCCTTACCTAAAGCATAACATCTTAACTTTAAACATTAATTTCCCTCATAATGCAGATTGTTTCCCTAATGTTAAAATAACATAATACTAATAAAATAATATAATGGACTAAAACAGTTGATGTTGTTCTCAAGTCCTGCAAGAGCAATGCAGTGACTGAACTCCAGGAATGACAGCTTTATCTTCACAGTTTCGTCAAGATGCTGAATTGGCAGAAGGAATAAGGGGCTTTTCTCTGAAATGACACAGTTGGCTAAGCTCTTCTCTCCTTTCTGGTATCCAGAGCTTAAGCCTGTGGATGTCATGTCACAAGAGTGACAGGTGAAGGAAGGTGGTATGGTGATCTCTCTCATAAAATATATGAAAACTATTCCTCTTGACATTTGATCCACAGCTTTTAGTTCTCCAGGGAAATGAGCATCCATTTTTAGGCCTATCCCTTTGGGGAGTTATAAAATACTCATCCAGATGGCACCAAATTCTTAAGTAGAAGCCAAGGGTTAAGTCTGTCACAAGCAAAAGCACCTAAATGTGCTTACTAAACAGATACTTGAAATGCTGGTTCCATATTCCTTGAGACCTGGTTAAATGAAGCATCAGATAAGACATTTGGTACAAAGCAAACAGAATGAAGAACTTAGTCATTCAGACCTAGACATTTTCTGTGGTTAGTGCTACATATAAATGCAATTAACAAGTGGTATCATGCAGTTTCAAGACAGAACTAGCCCAAGATACTTCTGTTGCCTGATGTCAAGCAGTAAATGATACTCTCCTGTTCTTTTAGTCAAGTGCAGATTATCTAAATGCATCCAAATTATTTTAACACATGTGACCCTAGACTATCACAAACACCTCTTCCTATCACTGATAGTATAATAGCATGGATCAATGGCAGTTTGTTGTTCTTTTATATTACATATCTTCAATCAGAGATAGCCTCATTTTATTGATCAAGCTGATGCTGGGATTATATAATTACAGAAAAAAACAGATCTTGTGCTGTATTCTCGGGCTTCTACCCTCAAAGAAAGAAAGGTGCTTTTTCAGCAGAATTCCACTCATGTGTCTGGAAGACACAGGTGGCATTTTTTTCCAGATGCTCCATCTCAAAAGATTTGCTCTAGAGAATTTTGAAACCCTTTGTAATTGTGTAATTGGTGCCATAGATATTATTAGGGGGAAATAAAATGAATTCCTTTTCCTCCAGCCCAACTCTCCATTTTCTGTGGACAGCCGAAGTCCTTTTATTTATAAAAGAAGATTCAATAATTAATCAAATGACATGTCTATATCCCATTTTTCTCTGTTCAGAAATAATGTACAGCAATTAATAACAATTATAAAATGTATGAATAAAAATCAAAATATTTAAAATCAAGACAAATTTAAAATCAATATCATTAAAATCAAAACCTAGTTCAACTAATAGTTTAAAGCTTGATGAAAAAGATTTTTGCTATTGTTTTTTCCCTCACATACTGGGAAAATGGAGGCCAAATTAACATTGTTTGGGAATTCCTTCCGTATCTGGGTTCACAAAGAAGATCCAGATAGATGATTGTCTGGCAAAAAGAGCCTCTTCTAAAGTGCTTCTTCTGCTGATCTGAATAACTAGGCAGGTTCATAAAGTGAGAGGCCATATCTTGTCTTAAATTATGTCTGGTAGACAACTGGTAACTAGTAGAGATCTTTCACTATAGACCAGGGTAGGCAACCTTGGCTCTTTTATGACTCGTGGACTTCAACTCCCAGAATTCCTGAGCCAGCTTGGTTGGCTCAGGAATTCTGGGAGTTGAAGTCCACGAGTCATAAAAGAGACAAGGTTCCCTACCCCTGCTATAGGCATTGTATAATCTACCAGCAACTTAGCCACTTCATTTTGCACCAACTGCAATTTCCAGATGTTTTTTAGAGTCAGACACATGTAAAGCATTTGCGATGGTTAAGATGGAATAGGATCAAGGCATAGATAACCACTGATATATCTTGCCAGCTCATGAAGGGTCCAATTGTCTCACTAGACAAAGTTGCACAAACACACTCTTTGCCACATCTATCACCTGTGAATCCAGTAACCACTATGGTTTAAGAAATCTGGTCTATATGAAGGAATGCAACCCCATGCCAAATAGGTTTTTCTTCAGGCCCAAATGTCAGTTTTCTAAATGTAATAGAAACAAGATAAAGTCCTGTGGAACACCATAGCTTAACAAAGTGGAATTGGGAAGTAGTTCAATCCAGCATCATTTCTGGATGCATCCCAACAGGAAGGATTGGATCTAATGCAATGCAGTGCACCAAAATCCCAGGAAGATTGAAAAGAATAGAATAGAATAGAGCTGGAAGGGACCTTGGAGGTCTTCTAGTCTAGCCCCCTGCTCAAGCTGGAGAACCTATACCAGTGATGGCGAACCTTTTAGAGACCGAGTGCCCAAACTGCAACCCAAAACCCATTTATGCATCGTTGGGTGCCGGGTGGGTGTGGCCCATTCGGTGGGTGTGGCCCATTGGGTGGGCATGGCTGTGGTGGTAACGGCAGACTGGGTGAGACTAAAAAGTTCAATCAATCAATTCCAACTTTGCAAGATCTTTTTTTCCCCGCAAGAAGTTGAAATTGACTGACTGATTGAATCTTTTTTTTTTTGCACACGGCGGCGGAGGCCTAAAGCAAAAAGGTTTTATAAAACCCAGCTGAAGGCCTAGGACTGGGGCGACGGCGCGAGTGCCCACAGAGAGGGCTCTGAGTGCCGCTTCTGGCACCCGTGCCATAGGTTCGCCACCACTGACCTATACCATGTCAGACAGATGACTGTCTAGTCTCTTCTTAAAAACCTCCAGTGTTGGAGCACCCACGATTTCTGAAGCTGTTCCACTGGTTAATTGTCGGGAAGTTTCTCCTTAATTCCAGGTTGCTTCTCTCTTTGGTCAGTTTCCAACCATTGTTTCTTGTCCTGCCCTCTGGTGCTTTGGAAAATAGTTTGACGCCCTCTTCTTTGTGGCAGCTCCTCAAATACTGGAATACTGCTATCATGTCACTCCTGTTTCTTCTTTTCTTTAGACTAGCCAAACCCTATAGCCATTCTTCATATGTTTTAGCCTCCAGGCCAGAATCAAAGTCTAATCTACAGAAGGGGATTTATAATTCTTTAGATGCTATTGAAGTAATATTCTTCATTATGATCTCTATTTATCCTTTGAATGAGTTTGTACTTTCTATAGTTGAACATAAATTGATTATATATCCTCAGTGCACACAATCTCATAATACCTAATCTCACTGAATATATCCTGCATAATATTAGATTTAAACTTATTTTTCTTCCTGATTTAAAGACTTTTATTGTTTTAATCAATATATAAAATACAAATAAAAATAAAACTAGGAAATTAAGGGAAGGAAAAAGAGAGGGAGAAAGAAAATATAAGGTACAAGCGGAGAAAGAAAAAAAGCACTGACTTCCAATTCTTTTTGGCACAGTACAAGATAACATTCCCACCTCAACTTTTTACTTTTACACATTAATATATAACTAGCCATTTCTATAACAACAAATTTATCTAATCAGCAAAACCAAAGTGAAAGTTTCATTTTTTTCCATCAAAGGATAATATCCAGAATGACATCCAAATAAAAAACATAATTAAATATATTCTCCTCTTTGAACAAAACAATCAATTTAACCATTTCTGCTTTATCTTCTTTGCTGTGCAAATAATATGTATTTCTATTTGCACTTAATAATCTTTATAAACTATCACCATCTATATTAACAAAATTCACTGTATTTTTTCAGATTCTTTAACCTTAAAGGGAAAAATACTTTTTTTCATCCATTTTAAAACACTAAACTTTTCTTTAAAAACATTTCTGAAATCAAAACTTTATAATACATCTTTTTTAAACTTCCCCTTAAAATGCATACTTTAAAGTTCATTGTTAAATTTAGACCACTCCCTCCAAGTTATCCTCATAGAATATTTTTTTCTTCTTGTATACATTCTTTT